CAAAACAGGAACTATTTGTGGATATACGGGACCTTGAGAATAACTTTACCTTTACTTTTCAGAAATCCATGTACATTTTGAAATTATGATTATATTAAAAGTTGTAGATCTTGAAAATTTATGCGGAATCAAAAAAAAGTTCATAACATTCGGAGTTTGGAGCACAAAGTTATGGCCGCCCAAAGTTTGACGAAAGGCGAGACCCGGCGGTTTGCGGCTTGCAAGATCTCAAAAAGTTTGCGGCCTCCATTTTTTGAATCCGAATAAATTTTTGAGATCTTGCAAGTCTCAAACAGTCGGGTTCCGTCTTCGTCTCGAAAAAACGTCATTTGCCACCCCGAACGACCTTTTTTTTTATTTCGTCAAACTTTGGGCGGCCATAACTTTGTGCTCCAAAATCCGAATGTCATGAATTTTTTTTTTATTCTGAATAACTTTTCAAGATCTACAACTTTTAATATAATCATAATTTCAAAATGTACATGGATTTCTGAAAAGTAAAGGTAAAGTTATTCTCAAGGTCCCGTATATCCACAAATAGTTCCTGTTTTGAAAATTTCATCCTAGTAAAAGTTGTAGATCTTGAAAAGTTATGCGAAATGAAAAAAAAAAATCGCTACGATCGGATACCCGAGTGCAAAGTTACGTTCGTTTGAAGTTTCGACCGAACTTTTGGACCAAACCGCTGGTCGGGGTGGCGGTTTTGGGCCAAACCGCCGCCCCACCCAGCGGTTTTGGCCAAATTTTTTTTTTTTTTATAACCGCCCCCTAGGCCCGCGGTTTGGTCCAAAACCGCGCCCCCGACAAGCGGTTTTCGACCAAACCGCTGGGTGGGGTGGCGGTTTTTGAAAAAGGGTGGTATTTTTGGAATTTTTTGGGATTGGGTGGTATTTTTGGAATTGTTTTTTTAAACAGTGGTACTTTTGGATTTTTTCCAAAGTTTTGCCTTCCCCCATCATTTCCCCATATTTATATTAGAAAAACTCAAACAAATCCCCGTCAGGTTACTTTTCTAGATCCAGAAGCTAAAGTCACTCGCTACTTATCTTTTCGTGTTCTTTCTTCTTTGGAAAAAGATGAGCACCAAACTCAATCCTTTAACCGATTAAAAGTCCAAATTTTCAATATATTATGCGTAATTGATAATTTGTAAGATGAACTCTCTAGAAAAAAGATAATTTGCAAGATGAACATAATGTTCAAGTGAACTTTAAGTTAAACTTTTTTATTGTATAAAAAATACATCATTTCAAATAAATTTAGATTTTGAAAATCACTTAGACAAATGAAAAAAGTTGTTCTTGCCTAAGTTTAGAATAAAAAACTTCATTTTGAAAGACAATACGATTTATATATCGTAATTATTCGGGTCAATTGGGCGGGTTTGGTTTAGCCGGGTTCGGGTCAATCGAGTTGCGGGTTATTTGGGTGCGGGTTCAATCGGGTTATGATCAATTGGGTTTGGGTTCAATCGGGTTACGGGTCAGTCGGGTTGCGGGTCAATCGGGTTACAGATCGAGCGGGTTACGGGTCATTGACTTTTAATCAATTCGGGTTGCGGTCGGGTTGCGTGTCGGGTTGAACGGACGGGTTACTCGGATCGGGTTCTATTTTGACACCTATACCTCCAACACTACTGTCGTCTCTCTTCTCCGGCAACACCACTTTTTGCCAAAATCCAAACTTCCGAACCATCGCAAGATAAATACATTCCCCTCTCCCTTCAAACATATTGAAACCCAGTACTACGCCCAATGAAATTCCACTCCAGCTTTTAGTCCCTACCAATGGCTTGCTCGTCGGACCGTGGGTATCGTGGCCGGAGCAATCAATTCACCAGCAACAAAAGTTCGTTCCAATATTGCTTTGCCATTGCTCAATGAAATGCCCAATGAAATTTCACTCCAGCCTTTGCCATTGCTCCCATGACATTGTTTTTCATGGTCAGCGATAAACTAGAGAATCTATTTCGTTCAAAATGTTGCAATCTGCCATGAGCTTGAAAGCAAGAGACTTGATCACCATGTACAGGATGCGTATTCTTCATCTGAGGCATCATAAATTGCATGATTCTCTTCTCTATTATGGGTTCAAGTTAAATTCGAGCAACTGCACCCTTGCTTTATTTTGAAGTTTAAGCTAATTGATTTGTGCAGAAACTTGATACCACAAGATGACAACATAAACCTCACCCTCGGACTTCTTGTATGGGAGAGCTAAGAGAAGCAAGAGAAAGACTTGTAGTTTGGGGACAACCTGAAGTTGAAGTTGAAGTTGAGGAGTAAGTAGATGTTCAGAATATGGCGGAGAATGTCAATGGGGATGATGAGAAGACCATGGGATACTTCTTCACACCAAGGGTCGAGGACATTCAATCTGGTGCACGTCACGGTCTAGAGGACGTGACCCAATGGTCGTTCACGGCTTGGATGCCATCACACTTGACAAAATTCAAAGTAGATTCATGTCAGGGACTATGGTTGTGACATGTATTACATCGTTGAATTGAAAAATTCTTCGCTTCTTGATTTCGTCTTTGAGCACCGAGATTGCAGGCCTGAGCTTCAGATCACAATCGCGATCTTTTTCACAGTCAAATCGCTCCTTTGCCGCCACCTCGGTTATGAGAGGTTCATGGTATGGAAGTTGTGGCCTTGAAGGTTGCTGTCGTGAGCATAGTCACTGCCTGGAGGTCATAGATGTGATCGAGGTTGCGACCTGTGCAATTTCCTCCCCTTATTGCTCTTATGCATTGCGAATGTTCATGGATGAACTCCAAATCCATCCGTAATATATTTTGGACAAGCACAAGGTTTGAAATATCATCACAAACACCAATCTAGCATAAAATACCAACTCATGCCACAACTTATGATTGATGAATATGAACGCATATTGTCCTAAACTAGCTTGATTTATGAAAAAAATACCTCAAGAATAGACGTTAGATAAATTTAGGTTTTATCGAGGTTGTCAACCCGCAGATCAACCTGGGTTGGCCCTTAAAAACGGGCTATACCAACCCAATTCACAATCAGCCTGGACCCGTTCAAACCTGGTGGAACCTCAGCGGTTAACACGTCCAACCGGGTCAAGCGGGTTGCTGGCCGTTTCAATTCAGCGGCGTCGTTTGCTCGGGATTGGGGAGAAACGAGAGACAGTGAGAAGCAGAGGCCACAAAAAACCCTAACGCGAGCGCTCCATCTCCCGCACAGGACTCCATCTCCAGCTCCCTACTGCACAGCTCATTCTCGATTCATCAGTCGCCGAGGAGAATCGCCGGCTCCAGCCTTCACAGTCGAATGGCGAGGGTGTCTCAATTCTACATGCTTGAGCTAGACCTGTTCTTCATTTTTTAGATCTTTCTCATGTTTGGTCACACTACAAGAAAAAAGAGTTTCAGCTACCATTTTCTTGGCAACCATAGAAAAATGGTTGCTTATAACCAAGTTTCGACAACCATTCACAAAATAGTTGCTAATGCCAAACTCTAGTGCAACCATTAGTAAAATAGTCGCTGATAGGTCAAAACTTCAGCAACCATTCGTAAAATGGTTGGTGATGCCCGACTCTCTAGCAACTATGAGTTAAATGGTTGATAGTAAACCAATACTTCCGCAACCATTCAAAATATGGTTGGTGATACCCTACTCTAGTGCAACCATTATTAAAAGTGTCGCTGATAGTTCAAAACTTCAGCAACCATTTGTAAAGTAGTTGCTGATACATGACTCTCTAGAAACAATGAAGTAAATGGTTGAATCTAGATCATAACTTCAACAACTATCAAGAAAATGGTTGGTGATATTCTACCTGTGAGCAACCATGAATTAAATATATGCTAATAGACCAAAGCATCATCAACCATTTTAGAATGATTGGTAATACGCATCTCTTGAGCAATCTTATTAAAATGGTCCGTAGATTCTTTCAAATTAAATTAATCATGTGTTAAGGATGTAAAGGAACAAATTAAGTTGGGTAGTTGTTGATATCCTACCCTTAAGCAACCATGAGGCAAATAGTTGCTAATAAGTCAAACCTTCGACAACTATTTTGTAAAGGTTGATGATACCCCGTCCTTAAGCAACTAAGAGCGAAAGAGTTGTCGATAAACAAAAACTTCAACAACCATGGATAAAATGGTTGGTGATATCCTAATCTTAAGCAACCATAAGGTAAATGGTTGCGGATAAATCAAAACTTTGCAACCAATTAGAAAATGGTTGGTTATACTTTTTTCCTTAAGCAACTGTAAGAATTAATAAAATGTCGTCGACAAAGGAATACTTCAGCAACTATTGAGAAAATGGTTGACGATGCCCTATCCGTGAGCATCTCTTAAGTAACCATCGACAAATAGTTGGCGATAGTCTCGGGGGCAAATGCCAAATGCCAAACGCCATCGTTTTATTGCTGAGGGAAGTGTGAAGAAATAAAATCCGATTCTCCTTCCTTCTTTTGCCCATTTCAATTCCAAAGTTGAAACCTAATTTCGCTTCTTCTTCTCCGGTTCTATAAACAACGCAGCTGAGACGGCATCATCTCCCTCCAGTATCCTCCTCGTCGGGGGCGTCTCCCTGGTCTTCCCTTGTCGTCGCCTGGCTTTCCTTCACTGGGGACAGAGAGATAGAGGGAAGACAGAGAGATGGCGAGAGCACAACGGCGGGGTGGAGAGCAGTTTCCGACATCGAACGACTTCCGCTGCACTCTCCTATTCCAAGGTGAGACCCGAGGGCGACAGCAGAGCATTTTCACCACCATCTCCTGGCTTCCCTTCGTCAGCGTCGCCTCCGAGGAACCACCTTCCTCGTCAGTTTCTTGTAAGTAATCCCTCTCTTGGGTTTTTATTGCGATTATGGGTTTATCCCCATCTCCCGTTCTGTAAGGAATCCCAGATCTCCGGATACCGAAGTCATCTAGGAGGTTAGAAATCTCTGATTCAGCATCTTGTAGTCTCGATTCGAGAAGCTAACACTAGTGACAAAGTCCAATCTTCTGATTTCATCATCTTCTAGTCCCGATGAAGCTGAATTGGAACTTTCAAGGAAGAGAGATCGTGGTTTGATCCAGGTAGTCCCTTAAAAAACTAATGCTACTTGGTTCGTATTTTGTAACTAGTTTTGAATTCATAAAGAGGGAAATTGGGTATTTTTAACAAAGACTTGTGGTTCCCACAGTCTATGGATCTGTCTCATCCTTCTACCCTCTAGAGAAGCTAAACAGGTTGAAATGGAGTAAAAGAAATAATTGAGTTGAATGGTTAGAAGATTGATACTAACTTATTCATGAAATTTGCATAAACTATGACTTATCCAAGTGCCTGAGTTAGGTATACACTCGGTAGCTTGTGATATCGTGAAACAATTATGTTGCTACGTTTCTTTGTTCTTCTAAAGCTTCAAAGAGATTATTGGAAAGTTGGAGTGAGACATATACCTTCATTCGTTGGACAAGTCTCTGTCCTACTACTAGTTTTTCTTCTTTCTATGGAATCAAAACGAAACTTGTTATCGAATTATCTATTACGGACACAGAGTCTTTTAAGTTTAATTTCAATTAGATGGAATCTCTGCCCCCTTCCTAAAATTTCACATCATAGTTTAGAGGGTACTAAAAGACGACTTGACTAAGCAGCTAATGGAACTTTGTGTAATTAATAATCTAAATCTTTTGAGTTCTGAAACTTTTTCCTCAATCGCTTTTGTATAATCTTGCACGAGATCTATTTGTTTGCTGTAACCTTATTTAATAAGGAATGAACTGGCTTCCTTAGCTCTATATAGCTTTGTGGGTTTGCTGTCAAATGGAAATACTTAATTATAAGCTAGTGAGTGTCATTTAGTTGTTATCTCCTTATTCTTTGTCTAGCGTTTTCTTATGTATTGCTGTATTTTCGTACAACTTGTTTTCACTTGTAAATAAATGCAGCTTGTTGTTTAATTTCTCTCTTTCTTTCTTTGTGTTTGCTGTTGGTACTCATTCGTCTCATTTGGAATCCATGACATGCTAGCCTCTTGTTCTTCCCTTTTTGGTTAGAATTTAGTGCTGTGCAGGGGATGCGGCAGCAGCAGGACATCAAGAAGATGGAGAGTAGTCAGTTCAAGTATTGCATAAATTGTTGCAGTTTTAGTCTTGTGCATGGCCTATTTGATTCTGCACTGTTAGTCTTGTTCATTCCTTATACAATTATGCAATTATTTGCACATGTATGTAGCAGGTTTCTTGTGGTTTTGCTAGTAGTTTGTGATGGTTTTCTCATACATGTTTTTGTAGCAAATTTACAGCAGGAGTGCATGCAGGGATTTTTACAAAGAGATTAGTTGCAATGACTATAATGGATTACTGATGGTTGATTTTTCAAGAAGATTATTTGAAGATAAAAGAATAAACTCTATTGATGTTGGATTTCATAGATTAGTTGTAGAGAATAGGATAGACTCTAAAGGATTGAGAATGATAGTCCCATTTCCGATGCAAATATGTATGGAGAATTACTTATTTTTCACTTTTCCTTGCTATCTTGTAATGAGAATTAATCTTTTATTGATCTTGGATTATAATGTCATTTGTTGGAAAGTATACTTGTTACATTATATTCAAATCAATTGTACATAATAAGTGACAAACTACTAGATGTAATTAATAGTCTCATAATATGCCTTTTGGCAACCATAATGAAGGGTTACCTAAATACTAACTTAACACTACTGTTTGGTGACTGGAGAAAATAGTTGCCAAAATCTCTCATTTGGCAACCATTAATGAGAGCATTGCCTTAAATACTACCTTGTAGCGACCATAATCATGGTGGCTAGAATTCTGGACTTTTACCAACCATTTTTGTATAGTCGCTGGAAATGTGTACAGCCAACCATAATAGGATAGTCGCCGAATTGTTGTTCCACCAACCATAATATATAGTGGCCTAAAGTAGATATTTGGCGACCATACCAAAAAAGGGTCGCCTGGCACTTATGCCGACGCACCTTTGCCGACCATCTTGGCGACCCTCATTTATAGTCGCTTGAAGTTTTCGGCAACCATTTTTTGAGTTTGGGCAACCATAATTGATGGTTGCTGAAACCATATTTTCTTGTAGTGTCAGATCAAAATTAGTAGTGGTTTTCAAGATTACTTACGACCAATGTAGTCAAAATCCGGATTTTGATCATAAAATCGTAGAATTTGGAGATATTACTTGGGGATTCCAATCCTGATTTTACTATAAAATCGGTAGACCTTAAAATCGTTCAAAATCGGGATTAAAATCATAAAATCGTACCAAAATCGTGATTTTGATCGTATGAGAACAAAATAAGTGGTTTGGGCCATTTTAAAAGAAGCATAACTGTTTCGGCGGAAAGGGCAACGATAGGAATCTTCTCAGATATTTTTCTATTATAAAAACATTTTAAATATTAAAAATAACCAAATTAGGGCTTCGTTTATCCGTTCCCTTCGCCCCATTTATCTTATTGATAAAATAATTATCCTAACATTGGAAGTATGTAGTTAACATTATTATTAACTAAGTAATTTATTAATGAATATATTTGTAACAAGCTAAGTTATTTTATTGGATTTTAATTATTTTTAGTTTTAAATCATACTTAGTAGACGATGTCAGAATATTACTTTGAGTTAAACTATCTATACGCAACATGAAAACAAGAGCCAAACCCAATGGGCTGTAGCCCTTCATCATGAATTATTTTGAGTTACGCATTAAATAACAATTAAAATAGTAATTTTGGAACATTAAGCTTGAGAATTATCTCCTGCAAAAAAAATAATAATGAGAATTATCATTTTAAATGTTATGTCTCTTTTTGTTATTAATGATTTAACTTATTAATATTATAATATGTTATGTTCTATATGGTACTTAAAATTTTACGATTTTACGATTCCGATTTTACCCCAGTTTTCGATTTAGGTAAAATTTCGATATTGAGTGCTTCACTTACGACAAAATTGGTAGTGTTTCTTTAGATGTAGTAGTGTTTTTTTTTTTTTAGTTTGACTTGTTAGTGAATCTCAAAATTTATAGCATTTTCTTGTTAGTGATTCTAAATGTTTAAGAATGCACCACCTAATTCAAGAATTCCAACTGTGTGCCTTACCAATCCCATAAATCTCTTCTATTCAATTCGTTTTAGTACTAGCACAAGCAAACTAAATCAATATTGGTAACCATTAAATAATTTAAATCACTACTAATAACTATAAAATAACTACTAAAATCATAAAATCGTAATATAACCACCAGAATCACTACTCTTTTCTGGTTGAATCAAAAGGAAGGTTTTTTATGTGTTGTAATTTGAAATCATTTCAAAATAGGGTAGTAGTGTTTAAGTTAGTGTGGCTGGCAGGTTAGCACTTAGCAGTGATTTTTTGTTCCCAAATTGTAACGGCCTACAGCAAAAATTCCAATAAATCGGCACGTCCACTTTCCCCATAAATCAAATTTTGTCTTATAGTTTTTTTACTACTAGTTTCCCATGATACCTTTCTTTAGTTCTTGCCATTAAATTTTTTTTTTGACTGGCTTGCCATTTAATTTAAACAATAAATAAAAGGTTTATCTTCAAAAAGAACCATTAATGATATACCAGTGAGAGAGATGAGAGAGAAAGAGAGAGGTGCTAGTGAGAGAAGTCTGTCTAGGGATAGTGCGAGAGTCTCATCGGTCCTCGATCTTGAGAGGGGGGGGGGCAGAGTAGCGTTCTCGAGAGTTTGTTTCTTTTTTGCAGGTACCCGGCAAGCCAACCTTTGCGATGCAGTAACCCTTCGGTTTCCCGGCGACAAGCGGTTCAGATTGGGCATAAGTTTATCTGGTTAGAAGAGTTCCACTACAGAAGGGAGGTGGTCTTGAAGATTTTTCGAAGGAGACAGTCGACGTAGCTTCGTTTTCCTCGAACTAGAACACTCCAGTTGGCGCACGTCCTTAGAAAGATGTGTGAGTCGCGCTTGCTTTCTTCCAGGTAGACCGCCAGTACTGTCAAAGGTCCGTCCATTTCTGTCTCCGTCCTACGAAACCATCATTGTGTTGGTTTGAAGATTTCTGAGGTTTTGAAGGGTGGAAGAAGTTTCTTTGTCATCATTCCGTTTGAGCCCGCACCTTTGGTTATTTTTTCAGCAGCATTTCTTCAGCCTCAACCCAGGAAGGTGGTCAAAGCCCCCTTGAATCGCTCATTTGTCGTGCCTGGATGTTCATTTGCTTCGGTTCTCAAGGATGGAGATGTCTGTGGAGGTTATGTTGATGCTGATTGGTGGAACCTGGAGGATCCTTTCGTGTTGGTCTAAGGTTAAAGACGACAAGCTTATTCCAGAAGATCTCTTCCTTTCCTGCGATGCAAATTTGGTCTCGATCAGTCTCATTTTGGCACTGCCGTTGGTACCCGGTGCGATTGAGAACCGTAGGAGTCTCTCTCCTCGGGTTTCACCGCAACGGGATAAGGGAGATCCCTTCGTCTCCCTTGCTGATTCCGAGGCCTCTAGGTCTTCCACTGACCCATCCCCTAGCGCGCTTACGTCGAATGTTGTGATCCCCCATGACGTTACGTCTGTTGTCCCCCTTTCCCGGACTAAGCGAGTTTGGGTCAGAAAATTCGGGCCTCTACCAAATCCCCAGGCCCAACCCTTTTCTCTTAGTTTGAATTCCGAACCGCATTAAACCTGTTCTGCCATCTCCGAAATCCAACCTATCTTCCCTTTTGGGTTGCTCAAATCTCTATTTACCTGAAGTACACCCAACGCCTCCTTTGGTAACCTTTGCCCCATCTCCTGAAGCCCAATCCTTATCTTCTTCATCTATCCAGATTCCTCCATTATCCATTCTTAACCCAATTTATTTACCCATATACCTCACCTTCCCAAATTGACCTACCCTATGCCTTTCGCTAAATCTTCATCCATTCCCCTCACAAATTCGTGTCCCCCTTTTCAACCTCATTTCCCCTACTACCCGATCCCTCTCTACCCCTTAATTTTCAATCGGTTTCCGAGAACACTTGCTCTTCCTTTTTTTTCACTTGACGCTTCCCCCGAGGTCCCTTTGGATCTTTCGGAAGATTTTTCTAATGAGTTCTCCCAAGATTTACCTTGCTTCGAACCCAATTCTCTCACGATCACATCTTACCGTCCTATTGATGATGAGTACTTGAAGTCCTGGAGAGCGGAGCAAGACTTTTGTCTGCTATTAAGGGTGGGAAAGTTCTTCCATCAGATGCTGAAAATATTCACTCCCAATTCTGGGAAGAGGGCAGAGGATCGATTAGAGGAGATTTCCATGAACTCGGTGTTTAAGAAGAAGAAGAAGAAGAAGAGGCTTCGCAGGACCAAATTACAAATGGAAGAACACCGGCTGGGATCGCAAGGCTCCTTTTCTCCTCTTCCCATAACGAGAAGACAAACTGGCGGGGGATGTGAGGCCATGTCTAAGGGTCCCGGGAGTCACTAGTTCGGGTCTTCTGCTTGTGGTTTGAATGCCTAGTCTTATGTACGAATCTATTCTTGCTTGGAATGTCTGTGGTTTCGGTTTGGCGGATAAGAGGGCCAGGATTAAAGCCCTGATTCGTTGTTGTCGCACTTCAGTTGTGGGTTTACTAGAGACTAAATGGAGCGCTCGTTCCCAATTTCTTATTTCTTCGGGCAGCGATAGTCGAACCTCTAAGTGGGTGGCTAAGGATTCCCTAGTGTCGAGGGGAGGAATTTCTATCTTCTGGGAGAAAACTGATTACAAGTTGCTTAACTCTTGGGAAGGATTGTTTTCCTTGGCTGTTAGATTGCAGAATGTGCATTCCAATAAGATCCTAGTTGTGGTCTATGTTTGTGGACCTCATGATAGGGAGGGTAAACTCTCGTTCTTAAGTGAGCTCAACTTCATTTGTCGACATTATACTGATCCTTTGTGTATCATGGGTGATTTCAATCTTGTGAGATCGGTTGAGGATTATGTTGGTGGTCCACGGTGTGGGGAACTTATGGACACTTTCAATCTTTTCATCAATCAGTTTGGGCTTATTTATGTTCCCCTTTGTGGTGCTCTTTTTACCAAGAGTGGTGGAGGTTCGATCCCTCTCCCGTCTTGATCGTGATCTCATTAATCTCCCATTTGAAGAATCTTTCGGTTCTGGACCTCTTCAAACGTTAGAGCGAATTGACTCTAATCATAATCCTATTCTTGTGCAAAGGGGATTGTCGGAACAAATCCATCGTCCTTGGCATTTCTTGAACATGTGGATCCTTGAGGATACTTTCCTTCGATCGGTTATCGGTTGGTGGAATGTTCCTGTTTCCGGTTCAAGCTTGCTTTTTCGCGCTGGGCAGAGGCTTGGACAGTGTAAACAACTTATTAAGATATGGAATGTGCAAGTTTTCGGCAAAACACACTTGAAGATTGAGCATCTCATTCAACATATTAAGGACATCGACTTGGCTGATGAAAGAGGTCTGTTATCGGACTTGGTGATGATGAAAAGGAGTCTGCTGAAGTGCGAATGATTCGGGCT